AGCCCTGCCACCCCTGTTACCTCTGGCCTGTACCCAGTTCTGTATACATAAATAAAATTTTTTAAAGAAGAGAGAAGTAAGGCTGGGAGAGGTGAAGTACCCACTCAGTTGGTACTCAGCTGCTCGGCTGGTAAGTGGTGAAGCTGGAATCTGGACAAGCCGCTCACTCCTCTACTGCACACTCCCTGGTGCCCAGGAGAAGTGACTGCGGCTGCGTGCCAGCTTTCCTCCTCCTGCCCCCACAAGGCTGAAGACACCCCCACCCTCTGTGATCGCCTTCTTATTTGAAATGTCTTTCTGTTGACTCACATAACACTTGTATAGCTACATACAAACACGTCCCCACACTGCATTCAATTAACCGGCCTCAGCCGGGGAGTTGGGGGAGAGAACAAGTACTGTGGACTCCACTATTTCCACTGAAACACAATCACAAGTGTGCCCTTCCCGTGGGTCCTGGTCTGGGGCGGTGGTCCCCACAGACTGGATGTTTGACTAGTTAAACATTCCTCTTCATAGAGCTTTGGAATGAAGGTTTAGTCTTCTGCGCTTATCCATGCCCTACCGGGAGGCAAGCTCTTTCTGAGTCCCTACTAGTTCTAGTATAAACAACTTGCCTGATTCATTTATTTATTCAGCAAATATTTATCATGCAGCTACTATGTGACAGGCAATGAGCTAAGCAACCAGCCAGACAACAGGGATCAACAGGGTGGAAGGCCAGACACCGGGCATGCAGGCGAGGGAAGAAACAACACTGGACCAGTCACGACGCACACAAACTCCAAACGCGGTAGAGAGTGGGCTGGGGTGCCATGAAATAACAGGAGGCTACCCCTGTTGATGGGGAGTGCGAGGGGTTCTCAGATCAGGTGACACTGAAGCCAGGACTTAAAAATACAGGCAGGCTCTAAGGGGGAGGCTGGTCCGGACTCCAGCAGAGCGTGTGCAAAGGCCCCGAGGCAGCCAGAGGCAGCAGCAGGGCTCTAGAGCCTTCAGCCAGTCAGTTCCGGGCCTCTGGAACCCAAAGACCCGAGGAACAGTTTGTGGCCTAAAGTCCCTGAAGTCTGGATTTCTGTGTCTCCGGAGGGGTGGGAGCTTCACCTGTTCTTTCTTGTGCCCCCAGAGCCGGCACCCAGCAGTTGTCTGGCAAACACTCAAGACCTGCAACGTGATTAAAAGGAGATGGGGACCAGGCAAGGGGACCCAGAGGTTGGGGGTGCAAAATCCCTGGCAGTCCCTCCCCTCGGGAAGAGGATGATAATGCCAGAAGAGGCTTTCCTCCCTCCCCCTATGTACTGGCTCAGGCTGGCTGGCTCCCTGTGGGCCTGTTAAGAAATGCAAAGTCCACTCTCCAGTCAGATTGATCCCAGCTGAAAACAAGGTTGTTTTTTACCTTTCCCTGCTACCCTGGGGAAAATAAGTCACTCAGCCTGTGGGCCAGCAGGTGACTTTTGCCCCTGCCAGTCCCCTCTGACCCACCTCAGCCAGTCACCAAGCCGAGAGGAGCTCCTCCTGGTAGGGCAAGCCTGGGCAGGTACCCGGTGGTACCTGTCAGAGGGCGGAGCAGAGTAAAGGTACATCCTTCCTCCTGGAGCATGAAAAGCCCCCACTGTGCCCTGCCAGACCCACGCCTCCCTCAGAAACACACCCGGCAGCCTGCAGCACAAGCTCTTCTCCTCCCGCGAGTGAAAGGGCTCTCAATTCCAGCCTCAGTTTTCTTGTCTAAGACAGGGCTTGGGCTTCCTCCAGCACTCAGACCAGGTGCTAGAAATGATGTGTGCTCAGCACCTCACAGACATCCCCCCACAGTGCTCCCGCAGCGCCAGGCTTCCCACTCTGACTGCTCTACCCATGAGGAAACTGAAGCTCTGAGCCAGGACACCTTGCTCAACATCAGTCATTAAGTGGCTGAGTCAAGGCAGCCCCTCCTGTCTGTCTCCACCACCTGCTCACAGCACTCTGGCCACACGGGACCCAGCGGTAATTCTGGGGGCAGGCGTCATCTTCAGGCTGCTACTCTGCACCACGCCGAGCAAGGTGAGTGGCCATTCTCCAGAAGAGCCAGTCTCCGGGCACCACCAGGGTTTGCCAAAAAAAGGATACAGCCTGAGTGACTCCAAATGGCTGAAATGAGGTCCAAACAAGTTCCCAAGTGGCCAAGTGACTTCTGCCAGAGCTCAGGTGCACGCCCACCTGGCAGGGGACTCAGAGTCCTCTTCCAGCCAAGGGGCAGAGCTCCTAACTCTAGCTCTTCGAGGCCCCTTAAGCATTCATTCCCGTCCTTCCAGCTACCAGGCACTTCAGTCTCCCTTCCTCCCCCACAACCCTGGGACCCATCTGTTCTCTCCACCAGCCTCGATGGCTCTCCTATAGAAAAGCAGGGCCAGTGACAGAGTCGGTCCAGAAGGGTTCCCGAGACAGCAAAGCTGGCCACCCCCGCCCTGTTCGGGCTGGTTCCCTCTATACGATCCACTTCTGTGGGCAAGGGGCTGACCCCCCTGGAACACACCCAGATCATCGCCTAATCCGTGCTGGACGCGTCTCACACCATCTGGTCCCACAGGACTGTGATCCCAGTGCGAACCGTGGAACCCGACCTATCACAACCCCTCAACAACCTTCAGCTCATCCCCGAGGACTCTGAGGCCACTCCCCACACACGATCCCACGTGCCTAGGGATTTGGGCACACGCCCCCCCAAACCCGCGGCCGGCCGGCTCTGCGCTCCGCTGCGCCGGGGCAGCTCGAGCCAGAGTAAAGACCCTGTAAACAGGTGCTCAATCCTTGAAGCCGGGGGCCAAGGAGTGCAAGGAAGCGGCCAAGGTCATTCAGCCGGAGAGGCGGCAGCCAAGCCTCCGCCCCATCCCCCGCCGGCCGGCTCTGCGCTCCAGGACCTGCCCAGCCCACTTCTCCTGCGGCGTGGGAATTTGCCGCGGGGACCGGAGCGGCTCCGGCGGGACCCGGACCCGGAGGGCTGCCGCGCGCCCGCCGGGCGCGGAGCCAGGGAGCGTCGCAAGTTTCCGAGTCGCGTGCAGGGACCCGGCGCCGGCGAGCGGGCGAGTCCCGCGTGCTGCGTTCCGAGCCGGACCGGGCCGCGAGAGCATGGGCAGCGGCGACCGCGGCGCGCCCGGACAGCCCGGCTGGGCGAGCAGCCTCCTTGGTGGCCGGGAGACGGCGGTGCGGCCGCGACTGCTGCCGCTGCTACTGGTGTTTCTGGGCTGCCTGGGCCGCGGCGCAGCGGCGGACGACGCAGAAGTCAACGCCGAGGTAAGGACCCCTGTCTCGTCCCTTTGCGGGGGGCTGGGGGCTTGAGGGTAGGGAGGTGGCCACGCCCGCCATCCGAGACCAGGCGGCGGAGGGGGCTGAGACGGGTCCAGGTCCCAGTCCCCGCGTAGGGGTGGGGGCGGGGGGCCGGGGAAGAAAGGGGACCTGGCCAGCTGCCCCTCCCAGCTCTCCCGCAGCGTCGCACCTCTTCACTCAAAGCCGGGGGGCGCTGGGCTGGCGCACACGCTGCACCCATCCGCCCTGCCCTGGGCACTGATCCGCCCGGGTCGCTGTCCGGGGAGCCGCTCCTGCCTCCCCAGCCCTTGCCTCCCTTCTTCCCTCCCTCCGGGGTGCTTGATTCCTCGAGAGCCCGGAGGGCGCGCCGCGTCGTTCTTTTCGAATGAGGAGGGGGCTGGTCTGGGGTGTGTTAAGGGGACGACGGGTTGAACAGGCAGCGCTCGCGTCTGGGTCGCCGCTAGTCTGGGTGGCACAGCCACACGCGGGGCGGGGGCAGGATTGGGGACACGGGGCAACAGACTCAGGGTGCGGGGGCGCTCTGGCCACTTTCTTGGGCTCTTGGTCAAAAGCGGAGCCGCGGACAGGTGGGGTTCTAAACAGAGACCCTCCTTCCGCGCTTCCTTCCACAAGTGCCCTGCACTGATCCCGGGCCGCAGAGGGCAGACTGGGAACATCTTTTCTCCGGGAGCCCTTCTCTGGCTTGGTCCCGCGGGTGACCAGGCGCGGCCTGCCGGAGCAGACCTGGGTCCAGCCAGCGCCTTCGGCTCCATGGGGTCATCGCCATCCTCTCCAGCAGGGACAGGCACCCACTTCGTTGCCCCAAAAGATTCCTGACCCGTTCCTTTGCTGACTTCTAGGACCAGGGTCCCTGCCCCGGAACAGCAGGGAGGGTTAAGCCAGGAGTGGGGGAACTGAGAAGCCGCCTTTGGCGGGCGGGAGATAGTCTCGGCCTCTGTGCCCTTGGGCCGGCCTGGAGCCTTGCGCGCCGGGACTGCGGCCCGAGTGCCATTTCTATTTGCAGCGGGTTGGTGCTCTCTCTCCGCAGGCGGCTTCCCCACCTCCCAGCAGCCTGGGAGATTTTTCCGATGGAAGCCTGCCCTTCCCCGCCCTACTTTAATAAAAGCATGGAGGAAGGGCAGGGAATTCCTCCCAGCTCAAGTTACACCTCCCAGCCAGTTCCCCACCTGCTCTGCCCTCCCTCCCTGGTCCCGCAGGGGAAAGCTGGGGGAGCCAGCCACTGGCTGGAGGCTGAGTGGGAGCCCAGCCTGTGCCCAATTCCTCTGGCCCAGCCCCACCCCCATTCACACCGCTGATAGACCCGGCTCTACTGGGGGGGGGGGGTGTTCCTGCTAGGCATGGCCCTCTGGGCCACCCAGAAACTAGGCGAGGGCTAGTATCTCACCTGCCACTCTGCAAGTCACAGGCCCTCTCTTGAGGCGTCTGTAGTCTACACACAGGAGTTGCATCTCCACATAGGAAACATTTATGGGTTCAGCTAGATTTGGGGGAGCTGTGCATTGTGAATTGGTATTCTAGATGGCCAGAAACTAGGCACTGGAGCTGTCACTTTCTTTGCTTCTGCACCTGCATGCCTCCACCCCCTCCCCCAGGGGAGGAAGGCCCCACAGCCTAGGGATGGAGGCACTGGCAGCTGTGAGCACCCGCAGACCTGTGCCCTGAGCCTGCGCTGGCACTGGCTAGGATTCCATGACAGCCCCTCTCCTGTCGGGCTGTTGCTGAAAGAAAACTGGCAAGGTTTGGGGACCCTTCAGTTTTGGAAGCCAAGGAAGATGGATAGGCAGGTTCTCTGAGCTCCTAGAGTTGGTTTGGGGGTATACATTGTCCCTTGGAATCTGCCAAGTCTGACCCTTTTGGACCCAGATTGCTTGAGCGACCTCCATTGCCAGGAGGCTGTGGGATCATCCCTCTCCCAGGACCAGCCTCAGAGACCAGGGCCTGGCCTGCACCCTGTGTGCAGAGCCTACTGCCCTGAAGAGGGCGCAGTCCTGTCCCAGCACCCCTCAGCTGCAGCCATCAGCTCCGGCTGCTCCTTGGGGACCCTCTCTGAGCGGCCTTCCCTGAGCAGCCTGACCACTGGGCCTAGCTGGCCCCTCCCCCTCCTGGGGTGGAAACCGCAGGAGTTCTGCCAGGCTAAGGAACAAGGAAGCCTGCCACCTGCCAGGTGTCCGTCCCAGTCTCCAGCCAGGCTGGCCTGAATGAGATTACCCCCAGTCCATCCCCCCAACCACAGCCCCATTCAGCTTTCTGTTTTGCTTTTCCTGGCTGTAGCACCCCACCTGTGTCCCTGACTTAGGCTTGCACCAAAGAAGCTCTGGTCTCGTCCCACTTTTCCCTGCCCCAGCCCCCCAGCCCCTGGGTGGAGGTGACTCACTGCCTGCCCAGCCCACAGGTGTGGTGCATAGCCACACCCACCTCTGAATGTCTTCCTGTCCCTGCGGGTGGCTGAGCAGGGTGAATAAAGGGGTGGGGGTCATCAGCAGGGATTCTGATTGTGAGCTTCTGGTCTGCTTGGTAAGCTGTGCTGGGAGCTTCCTGGACTCCCACCTCTGCTTGTATTTCCCTGCTGGCCCCCAGGGTCCCCCTGGTGCTGGCTATTAACGCCTGAGCAGGACTTTGAGGCCTCTCCCCCTCCAGGAAGGGGGGTGAATGTGAGGTCATTGCTCTCCACCTCTCATCTCTGCTTTTCCTCTGTCCTGTCACCATCACCATCCTCTCCTGATGGGTTCTCTGCTGGTAGAGCAGAGGCTGGACCCACTGGGCAGTGCCTACCCTCCAGCCCTTGGCCAGGTCTCCCACCCAACTGCCTGTTCTGACCCGAGGGCACTAATGCCTTCCTGTGCCCTCCCTGCAAGAAGGGTGGAGTGGAAGCAACACAGAACCACACGTAGACCCCCAGGGAAGCCTCCTGAAACCCCAGCACCTGCTGTCCATATTCTCTGATGCCAACTCAGGATGGTAACGCCAGCAGGTCTGGAAAAGCACCTCCCTGAAACCATAGTTGCTTGGTCTTCACCTGCCCAGCTGGGAGTGTGACTTCTGCCTGGGGCCAGCTGTGAAGGGTCCGAGAGCTGCTGCTTCCTAGCTCAGGTGAAAGTCAGTGCTGTAGGCCCCCAATTCATGCCAAAAATCTAAGTGCCATGCTCATAACATGGGAGGTGAGGCCTTGGGGAAGTGATTCCTCCCCAAAGGCAAAGTCTGTCAGGGTGCTCAGCCCAGGGAGAGCCTCAGCCGCTCCCACTACATGAGGAGCCACCCAAGGGGAGGGTGCAGAACCCCACCATTCCAGCACCCCATCTTAGACTTCCAGCTGTGAAAATAAATGTCTGTTTTTATAAGCCAGACAGCCCAAGAAGGCTGGCATTTTCAGGATCACCCCAAGCCCTGGGTGGCTCACTCAGCCCCTGTGCCAGCTCTGCCCTGGCTCAGAGACATGTTCTCTGGGTCAGCAGAAGCAGAGGGGCCTGGGGGTTGTCTGCCTGGGGCCTTCTCCATTGCAAAGAGGGGCAGTCTTGCCAGGTCCCCAGGAGCGAGCGACTCTAAGGGTGACCGAGCAGGCCAGGCCTGTAGCACAGAGAGCCACGTTGGCTGAGGCGCCCCCTGACTCAGGGCTTGTGTGTGGATGCTCCCCAGAAGGATGTGGGTTCCAGGAATGCCTGGAGACCAGTGCTGTGGCCTGCACTCTGGGGCGCCGTGGTGCGGATAGAGCCATGACCGAGAGCAGAGAGGTGCCGCCTGCCTGCGCCTGAGAGAGGAAGATGCCATTTCGAGACCCGTGTCCCTGTGGAGCTGCAGGGAGGAGCAGGCAGACTCAGCAGCTGCATATCAAGTGCCCGCCCGCCCGCCACGAGCCCGCCCTCAGGGAGATGCCCCCCATGTCGCTGCTTCTGTAGTTGAGCTGCTGGGGCTACAGAGCGGGGGCCAGAGCTAGGTCAGCTCTCCAGGGCTGGCTCCGGACCCTGGCACTCCCTTGTCCTCCCGGGAGGGACTGCCACCATGAAGGGGGAGAGCCCCGCTTCAGGCCCCGCAAAGGAGGCACCCGGGAAGCACTTGCAAATGGCAGCGAAGTGTAATGACAGTGAGAAGCAAAGGGCTTTTGCTGCAGGGTGTTACTGAACCCCTCTAAGTCTCAGTTTCTCCATCTCCGAAGGGAGAACAGTGACGTGATGGCATCTGCTGGATGGAGAGCCTGGGGGACTTGGCGGGTTTATGTGTAAAATGCCAAAGCCATGCGCAGTCACCAGTGAGGGTCACTGGTGAGGGTCGGGGTTACTTCTCGGCACCTTCACACACTGGATCCCCCATACAGGTGTGGCCTTGGGGCGCTCGGTACACACTTTCACATGTAAGCCTCAGTTCGCTGCAAGTTGGTGGGAGACTTATCCCATGTACAGAAGAGGAAACTGAGGTGAGGGAATTCACTGCAAGTCCCAGCCAGAGAGTGGCAGAGCAGGGACTTGAATCCTGGCCATCTGGCCTGGAACCCCAGCTCTCCGCTCCATGCTGGGGTGAGGGCTGCAGGTCAGCACGCAGGTGCCTTCCAAGGGAGGCGCTGCCAGGCAGCCTGCTGAAGCCCAGCCAGGTGGGCAGGAGGTTGTGGAGGTGGGCCAGAATTACCCTTGGCCTGGGGCCCTGCGCCCACACCCGCCCAGCCCTGGCCCCTCGCCCAGTCACCCTGCCAGGCTCGGACCCTGGGAAACCCATCTGAGAGACGACACCTACAGGGGGGTTGCAGGTTGAGGCCCAGGCCTGACCCCCAGCCAAACTACTCTTCACCCCTGATGGGATACCCCCTCCCCAGCCTGCAACTTTCCCCAAATGAGCAAGTATGTTTTAGGGCTGCTTACATAGAAGCCGGCTGCCTGGAGAGGTGGTAACCACCCCCAATGAAGGAGCCTGACTTAGGGCCCCTTTATTCACCGGCTCTGGGGCAAGTTAGGTCACCTGTGTGCTCAGGTTAACAGGTTTGCCCAGGAGGGTTAGCATCGCCCCAGGGCCTGTTATGTCACCAAGGACTGGATGAGGGGCGGATGCACTGGGGACACACTTCTGCTCAGCCTGAGAAAGAACTTTCTACAGTCTTTGCTGCCCAGAGACAAAATGGACCCTGCCAGGGTGCAGGCAGACCCCGGCTGTGGACTGTGGAAGCTTGATGGCCGTGAGAGCCACTCTGGCCTGAGATGGAGGGGTCCAGGGCTCCCTTAGGGTCACCTGGCTGGAGAGCAGGCTCCTGGTGCTGACCTATGGGCAGGGACGAGCCTGGAAGGTGTGCCCTGCCCTGTCCCCGCAAGGTCTGCGGCCCCTCCCCCCAGGCCCCCCACGCAGCTTCACGGGCTCTGCTTGGCACAGGGGCAGTGCAGAGCCTCAGCTTGCTCCCCAGAGCCCTCAGACTGCACACAGGGCAGGGCAGACCAGCACCGTGAGGCCCTCACAAAGCCGAGAAAGTTCCAGGGCCATTGCTGGCAGCGCTGGCAAGATGCCTTTTGTGCCTGGTTGGGCAGCCCTGCCAGGGTCTGCTTGCATGGCAGAGTGGTGCGGGAGGTGGGAACCCAGCAGCCGGAGATTGTCCTTATCACCCCGGCTGATAAGGCTGGGTGGGAGGGGGCCGCTGACCTGAGCTGGAGGAGTTGGCTGTGTGGAGGCAGCCATGGGCTGCTTCCCCCGCCCCACACCCCACACCCCCAACGCTGCCTAATGCACAGTATTGATCTGGCGCTCCTGCTCAGACACCCTCCCCACAGGCCTGCCTGGGCCTTGTCTCAGCAGTCCCCGGGGCAGGCCTGCTTCCTGGCCCGGTGCCCAGACAGCCAGACTCCCTCCCCCAGGCCTGGACTGGGCACCCTTCCTGAGAAGGCGCTCGCCCAGTGTCCGCAGCTACCTCAGCAACAGCCTGGTCTAGGAGTTCTGTCTTTGGGCTCCCCTCTCCCAGGCCAGCTGTGTGGCCCTGGATGGGCCACTCACCCCCAGAGCCCCACTGTCTGCGTAGTGGGGGAGCACGTAGCATCTGGAGTCCTTGTGGCCTTTGAGTGGGGTGATGCGGTGGAGACTTGCCCCTCTGCTGCTGTGTCTATGGCCTTTCCTGGGGGCCACGCGCCCCCCTCAGGCCCCCAGTGGCCTACAGGTCCTTGTCTGGAGCTAACCGCTCACCTGCACCATGACACATACTTGTGTGATGGAATCTGCAGCTCAAGAAGCGGCTGAGGTGGACAGAACAAGCCTGGGGGCCACGTGGCCTAGCACCCTGTTCAGAACCTCCCCTCCCTCCCACTGGACAGTAGTCCTCGTGGACCTTGTTGCTTGCCATGCACTGACCTTCCCGAGCCTCAGTTTCCCCACTTGAGAAACAAAGCTTTGCCTGCTTAGCTCAGCCCACCCGCGATCTCCTGGCACTAGGGAGGCAAAGCCCAAGGAGGAGCAGCACTGCCCCCCAACTCAGGACTGGAAGGCTAATCATCCCCTTGGGGCTCGCTCCCCGCTTTTGTTCCACAGCTGCAGAGCACGTCGTGAGCTGGGGCTCACAGGGCACAAGCAGCCCATTTGCAGAGGCAGAAGTACCCCTGTGCCAGTGTACCCCAAGCTGTGCCCCTCATGCTCCCGACCCAGGCAGTCATCTCCCCTATGCCTGCACCCCCAACATGTCAACACAGCAGTGGGGTGGCCAGAAACTTTCTCCAGGACATGGGACGGGAAAAGCCTGCAGACCTGTGGGTGGCGTCTGAGGCTGCCCAGCAGGCTGATTGGCACAACTGCCACTTGCAGGCACTTGCCAGAGTCCAGCCAACTCCTTCAGCTCCATGGGCCTCATCGCCTTTTATCCCAGCAGCTCTGGCCACCTTTCAGCTTATCCCACCCCTCCTTGGCCTGAGGGGCCCCCATTCCTTAGCCTGGCCTGGTATCCTGGCGACGGCTGAGGCCTCTGTCACCAGGAGGCAGAGGGTTCAGCTGATATGGAGACAGACGGAAGCAGCCGGGCTTCCCTGACACTCGGGAGGTGCTTGCTGGGAGAGAGTTCGGGGTCCACAGACCCCCCTGGGGCCTTCCTGTCAGCCCCAGCTGCCCCAGGTTTGACAGGCCTCTTGCCCCCTGAGCTCTGGCGCTCTCCACTTTTCCAGGCAGACAGGCCTCCCCTCCCCCCTCCCCAGGGCCCAGCCTTGCTCTGCCCTCTCTCCTCCTGTCACTCTGCAGACACCGCTAATCAGCCCCGCGGTGGCCCGTGATTGCACACCCCGAGATATTTTTACCTTATGCAAATGGATGGTGTAGAGGTGCCCTCGCTGTCTGGCTGTCTGTCAGGCAGCCCTGCGCTCCCCACCTCCGCTGGGTTCCTTGGGCTGTCAGGGGCGGCTCAGCAGCCTGGCTTCTGGATCTCTCCGAGCTTCTTCAGGAAAACTGTCTATTGAGAGGTGGGCTCACCTGGCGCCCCACCCCTTCCAGGAGCTTCAGGCAACTGCCCTGCCCTCAGGTCCTGCTGGAGCAGAGACCCTCCAACCCAAAAGGCCACAGCTCCAGGACCCCACCACACAGGCTCCCGCCTCCATCACAAGAACATTTACTGAGCCCTCTCCCTGCGGGCACAGGCAAGCACGGGGTGGACCTTCCTTTTAATCCTCACAAAGCCCATGAGCTGAGGCCACTCCCAGCCTGGCCCCCTTTACTGCTGGTAGACTGAGGCATGGGGAGCAAGAAGCCACGCCTCCCAGATGACCGGGTGGTCCCTGCCCCCTGCTCTGTCGGTCACCAGAGCCCATGGCCCAGGCCAGGCACTACTGAGCCAGCCTGTGGAGCAGCCAGTACGCACTGGAGGCTGGGGCCGGTGTGTGTGTGTGTGTGTGTGTGTGTGTGTGTGTGTGTGTGT